TGTTCTTTAGCACACAAAAATACAATATGGTGGTGGAATTATATTTCGTCCAGCGGATGCGCAAAATCAAATCGTGTGGTTGCACGAAATAGGATATTCTGCGTCCAGCGATGTATGCTACTTAAAACACGCACCTGACTTCAGATGATTTTATTTGCTCCAACCACTTGACAAAATAAAAATGAGCAAATGCAGCAGCACGTTTTTGTTTTTTTGTTTTTTTTTCAGTGTAGCAGTAACGTGTAACTGGACTGTAAAATGCTCCGAGGTGACTCTCATAGAGTACTGCGATCTCCCCCTTTTAAACACTCGATTCATGCAGTGCAATTTAGCTTTGATCTGCGCAGCAGCGGCGTGCTCGCCTTCTTGAACAGCACGCCAAATAATGACTGAGTTCAGAGGGATGGTTCGATTGAGTTGTCATCATACGATCTCGGAGTCTTCCCGAGTTAGGCTGACTGGCTAAAAGGTTGTGGGCCACGCCGCCGCAAACAATTTGCATCGCATTATCACGGGCAAGGAGGAGGGCGAGAATCCCAGCAGGTGAGCTAATCTCATCGCACACTGTTAATGAGGCTAAAAAGCTTTCTAATAGCTACAGTTTCGTGTTCCGGGTTGTTGCAATATATGACGGGGGGTACTATGGCAAAAATGGCCTCCGTTTTCTTTGTGGTTGAGTGCCGTTATGTCCGTCATCGCTCGGAATTATGAGCGGGGGACTTTGAGATTGAGCGGCACTTTATTGCAGCGCTGAGGAGACAGACGTCGCCATCAAACACCCGCGGAGACACCATTAATTAAGAAGAGTCGCACCTAAAGAGAGTCTCTCGCCGTGCCCTCGTGCGCTCGCTTCCAAGAAATCGATTAGCGTCCCTCCGGGCAGCCACCGGCCGGGTCTGACAGATTTTGTTTTGCGCGACAATGCTCACAAGGCAGCCGGCCGGTCACGATGTCTGCAGCTGAATGGAGGCCGGCCAGATAAGAGCGCTTACGGCTGCCTGCTGAGGTTCAAGCGCTGAAAGAACTCTCAGTTGTCTTCGAGGGCAGCCCTTGCTGTCGGGTCATCAAAAGCCAAGTTGTTTTTTTTTTTTTAACATGCAGCACTCATGCTGCGACACACACACACACACACACACACACACACACACACACACACACACACACAAAAACAAAAAGCATAGCATGTGCCAGGAATGAGTCCCCACCTATTTTTTTGATCGGGATTAATGTACGTGCTCCTTTGTGTTTTCAGGCAGACATTAGCGTTTAGCTCATTTAGCTTTGTCTCATTAAAAACCTCCCAAAGGCTCTCGATGCGTCTTTCTTCGTATCTCCCAATCAGGAGCAGAATAAACAAACACCACAGCGAGAGTGGCAGAATTGCTTCATCGTATCATGAATTGAGCCAAGCAGTGCTTTGGATGTGATCACCCCAGATGATTATTTTTCTCACACAGTAAACAAATCGCAGGATTTCTCCTGGCATGACTGTGCTCCTCTTCTGAGTCACTTTTGCTTCTTATTTTGAAATTGTTGCGGTTCTGTTTCCTGTTTTGGCTTCGGTCTTTGTTTTCTTTTCAAGGCCGGGGTGTGTTGAGGTGTGCTGAGCTCCTCGCGCAGCTAGCGTGCCCGCATTTGTCGTCACCCTCAGTATTTATGCGCCTGTCTGACTTTCATTACAGAACGTGATGTTGCATCCCCGGACTGGGATTGTTCACTTCCTCGCTGAAATTCCTTCCGTGCTCGCTCCAACTTTTGAAATCATCCCCACTCTCTTGTTGTACTTTGTTCTTGCTCCCGGTTTTCTGCTTATGATTTTCTGTTCATTACTTTGCTATTTTTGAGAGTTTATTCCTGGCTTCTCCCAGCACTTTACATTTGGACTGATTTCCTTTTGTTCTTTTTTTTTTCCCAGCCTCAACGTTTTGAGCGCTAAGCCGCTGCCTGGTCCTCTTGTTTGTTTTTACTTTGTTTCTTCACAGAGCAAAGTTTCCCATCAAAATGAGTGGAAATAGAATTCAGGCCCAAGAGCAAGATCATGTTAACCTAGTTCAGAATCAGAATCGGAATCATAGTTATTGGCCAAGTATAAAGAACACACAAGGAATTTGGCTCCGGTAGTCCAGGCTACACTGGTATCATCAATAACAATCAACTACGATAAACAAGGACATGACAAATAAGTATGGAAAGACATTCCGTCATGTAAGGGTACCGTTGTGCGGTGGTACCGCCCAATGACAGCTGTGAGGCAATTTGCAAAGTATCAACCAGAGCGAAAGTGATCAGTCGTAGAATACAATATTCGAACAGTTGTGCAGTTGGTGCAGATAATCATTTTAAAGTGACCAGTAGCAGTATTTGTAGAATATACTGTTCAGTTGTAGAAATGTCCGTCCTTGAGCGCTATAAAGTGTCTGGTGCTGTGGAATAGAGATCAGTGACAATGGTTCAAGGAAGTACAGAACTGGAGCTACGATGATTATTGCGGTCATGCGGTTACACAGGGGGGTGCAAAATTGAAAATTCGTTTTTATGGGTCTGAAGTTAAAAGCAAATGGAGTAGAAGATACAAATAAGGGGCAACATTTTCTTATCAGGAAAAACAAAACGTATCGTTTTGCGCTCCCACGTCACTGAGCCAACATCTTAGCCTTCAAAAGAAATGCCGTCGGGCTAACGACAACACGGGCAAGATGAGCAGCAATCCCAATCGGGTCAAATCATTTACAGTATCTTTGTGAATACAATAATAAGATATGGCACATTAAAAAAAATAATATGCCTGGCCATGCGCCCTTCCATGCAGTCATGAAAAGAAAAAAACGAGGGCACACTTAGGAAATGTTTGCGGGAGGAAGAGCTATTTTCATATCTCACTCCTGTCATGTTTTAGTGAAGATTCTCCGTCATCTGTGTCACGATTATCCGAGCAAAGATGGAAAAAAAAAGAGGAGCTATTCCGAAAACTCCAGGATGAAGATATCTGAAAACAAGCCTCGCGCTCCTGGTCGGGGACAAATGATAATTTAGTGATGACGACCGAGTGTGCACGTAATAATATAATCATGATAACGAGCGTTCTCATGTATTAGTCAAGTCATGATTTCTGACTACTCGCGGGTCGGGAAAACTGTCAAGTCGGTTTCCTCGTGCCCCGGCTGACGCGATGCCAGGCCGGCGCGGTCTCTCTTGCCGCTTCTTGTCAAGTTGGCGCAGATCTCACGTGAGCGTAATTATGCTCAATGAGGCTAATCCTTGAAATCAGGTCTCCATTGTGGGCATTGATCGCGTCCTATTGAATTTTCTTATCGGTCCGGACCATCTACAGCGTGTTCTGCTGATAAACCTCAAAGGCACGGGAGAGGGATTATAGATAATGGCAGAGAAAGGGATCAAATTAAATTTGAAATGGCCTTTCGGCAGCAGAGAGTCTTGCAGCGTTACTGTTTTGCTTTGAAGCACATGCGCGCGCACACACTCAGTATCGCACATTGTCCTCCAAAGTCTAACAGCCATTACCTCCCCCAAAAAAATTGCTCCTGAAACACGAACATTGTCCATTTCCACTCTGTCTTCCTTTCCTTATTTTTGTACAGTGATATTGAGTCTTTGATTGGTTTCGCTATGACCTTATGAGTCTGTTCCTCCTCATTTCTCAAAGGCGGTTCTCTCAAGTATCAGGAAATCGGTTGGCCATCGCTTGTCTTCTGGTGTAAAAACAATTCTGGCCTTGATCGAGGTGCACTGTCAAATTTTACACCTATTTCCAAGCTGCCTTTAATTGCAAAAAAAAAAAAAAAAAAAGTGGTACACATGCAGTTAAAATCCTACTTGGATCAACGTCACATTTATTGTTTGAATGTCATGTGACAAATTGTTGTTCCACATCAGGCACTTTGTATTGTTTTGAAAGCGCTCTGGAAATAAAGTGGAGTTGAGTGTGCTTCTGTGATTGAAGTTTTGCGCTCAGATGAAGGAGAACGAGCATCGCCGACGAGTCAGGCGGCGTCTTTCCAAACTCTCCGTTTGCATTTCGCCAAAAAGAGAAACCGTTTTCACTCCAGTGAGAAGCGTCATGAGTTGTGTGCACCGCTTGTTGCTCTGAGCACAATAATGTGTTCGAATCACAACAGAGCAAAGCTTCTCTCTGCGACCAGAGCCACGTGCTATAACAAACTGCTTTGTGTGCCGTTTAGCATCTCATCAGGCGAACAGTCGTGACTCGTCACGCTTTTCATGAAAGAGCTTGCCTGGCTTTCTTGAGAAACGCTCGCTTCTCGTTCGTCTATTTGGTAACATTTCAAACCGGTGCGTACGGATGAGGCACGGCTGACGGCAGACCGTCGGTCAGAATTTTCTCTTTGCCGAAACGCATCACGGCTTCCCCAATTTCCAGCAGCCTCCGGAAGGACCGTGAGGCCGCGGGGGAACATTTACCCGGGGTGAATGACTTGTTTGGATGACCACCCACCCCCCCACAGCCGCCGCCCTCGTTGTCGCCATGGGCAAAACGGGAGGGATGATTAATCCGGCGGTTCGCATGTTTAACGATGAGAGGGGAGAGGAGGCAGGCGCATCCGTGCCATGTGGGGAAGGTGTGAAAGGAGAGTCACGGCGCCGCGATTCATCAGGGGGGGGGTTACCCATCCTCTCTGGAGTCATAATTTTTTTAAGTAACCGGCCTTGATTGCCGTAATGCCCCCATTGAAACGATTATCTTTCACGGCTCTGATTATGTGTGCCATAAACTGGAGTCGAGGATTGACTCTTATTAAGATGGATTATGATCCGGATTTACTTACCGCTCGCTTCGGCGACTTTGAATTTTAATTGTGCATCAAAGAAGATTTGATGATGTGACCATACATGAATGGAATGAGTCCGATTTATCGGCGTTTTGGAGTTTTTTTTCTCGTTGCCCAGTCAGTCGTTCGTCCTTGCCAAGTCGGCGATACAACTTTGCTTGTCGTTTAGTCACAGGAAAGGTTGCGACTTACATTTGGAGACTCTCTGGATGTTCTTCTCCGTCTCCGCACCACCGGAACCATCGCAGCCATCTTCATCATCACAGTCGCCGCTGTAACGTCCTTCCGCATCGCCGCTTCCTGTTTCAATTTGGTCCAGCGTCCCCAGTTTGGGGATGGATTTCCCTTGCAGCAGCTAGAGGTGCAAACACAGATTTATTGATGTATTTATTTATTTAAGTTGTTGTTGTTTCTTGCGTAAAATCATTTGTGTTTGTGTTTTGTACAAGCAAGCTGAAAAGAATATTTTGGGCAGAGTCAACTGAAGTGATTTGTTTCATTCACGTTCTGTCTTGTTTTGGCTTTTTTCCCCATGCATAATATGACGACAGTGTGTTACAGAATGTAATGCCGTGATTAGGTTTGTACCAGTTTCGACTCTAATCTCATGCAGACGTCATTTATGCATTCGATGAATACGAACGGTACGGCACGATATTAGCAGTCAATATTTGCGCTGAATTTGCATGACGTTTTCACGTGTCTTGTGCAAAGGAACGGGATTCACGGTCAACGTTTACATTGCTTCCATTGCATGACGCGCAATCAGAAGGAGTACAAACGGAAAGAAACTGGAAAAGAGTCGCAGAGGAAACGCTCTCACAGTCGTCAATTGGACAAACATTCATTCATCCCGGTCTGACAATTCATTGGCTCATTCTGAACAAGTTCAACAAAACAAACAAAAAAAGCAAAACTTTCTTTTTTTTTTGTTTTTGTCATGTGCTGTGGAGCTCATCTTGGAAGAGCTTCATCTCATCTTCATATGTGGCAACCTTCGATCCATCCAAGGGTCACGGAAGGCTGCTGGAGCCTAGCCCAGCCGTCTTTGGGCAGTAGGCGGGGGACACCCTGAACCGGTTACCAGCCAATCGCAGGGCACACAGAGACGAACAACCGTCCGCGCTCACACTCACACCTAGGGACAATTTGGAGTGTTTAATCAGCCTGCCATGCACGTTTTTGGAATGTGGGAGGAAACCGGAGTACCCGGAGAAAACCCACGCAGGCCCGGGGAGAACATGCAAACTCCACACAGGGAGGCCGAAGCCTGGATCGAACCCACGACCTCTGCACTGCGAGGTCGATGCGCTAACCACAGGTCCATGGCAACCTTTTTTTAATTTTTTTTTTTTTTAAATTTATGATACTGATACGTGAGAACAATGTGCTCATTAGGCTGATTTTGAAAGAATAGAGCATTCCCGAAAAAGTGGTTAGTTGGGCGCTTCTGTATGCGCTGCACTGGCACTGACTTTTCTTCTTTTTTTGGGGTGGAGGGGTGGGGTGGGGGTGGTAACAAGGGAAATAAAAGACACTAATTGCAACATCTAAATTCATGGAGCATCAGAGGAAACAAGAGAATGCTCGGTGCTGATCAGAAAGGTATTGCACATGTTAATTAGTCAGCGTTGTGGTTGGCTACGAGAGAGCGACTGTGTCACGGATGCTGCGATGACTGGAGATGGGTGTGAATGTAAATAAGACAGCAGTCTTTCCTTCTCCCTCGTGGCAAGCTTGAAGGACAATGCTCAATTTCACTCCCCCTTCCTTGTAAATACAATGCCGTATTTGTTGCCAGACAAGGACTTTGTTGTGCAGAAAATACTGACAGATAGACAGAATAACCAGAACATAGCACTGGGTAAATAAATGTTTTTTGTTCCCGCCCCCTAACCTGTTTTTGCTCAATAAGCAGTGTTCATCCGACGCGACGTGTACGCTCTAGTGCTGCACAAGCTGCTGTTTAGTCCTGCCTGGGAAAACATCTGCTAAAACGGCATTCATCTGTTTTAGGAAATCATTGTGATACAGAGCAAGAGAGACGAGAGCAACCATCATACGGTCAGCCCGTGAGCCGTGTTGGGACATGGACATGATTTGAAAATGATGGTTATCGTTCCTGAAACATTCATTTCCTGAATAACATACAGATGTATGAATGAAATGAAAGAATGTGGCTGAATTGCCACAAATTCAGATTGTCTTTCATCTTTGCGATATTTAACGGCAAATTGATTTTTTCCGCACCCCGGAGAGCATTCATCACGCTTAACCCTAATTTGCATTCCGGCAATGTGAGCGTTGGACTGTTGGGAGATGCATGGCATTGGAATGCAAAATGAATGGTTCTTACCTGCATCACCGTGACCGACATATTTATTCTGATTATTTGATGACAACACCGCCGGCTAAAAGTGTCGTTTTCTAACCAGACGGGGACTTTTTTTTTCATTCGGTGCCCAGTACGTGTGTGTTACGTCAGGTCACGTCGGCGATGTTCTGTGCACGCAAACCGGGGAGGACATTATCGATCGAAGCACGAGAGAAAATGAAATCATTTTTACACTCATCAGTAACTGTGTGCGATTTTGCCTGATCATCAGGGCCGCCCCGAGCCAATGTGGCACCCTAGGCAAGATTTTTATTTGGTGCCCCACTTTGGTGCAAAATGATTTGGCAGGTTTCATTCTGACAAACAGAACATCCAACTCAGATCAAAACCTGACATATCAGGCTGAAAGAGAAATGAGAGAAACTATTAAGAGCAGGTGAATGTTAGCCTGTCAGATGTAAATGCTAGCAACAATGCTAGCATACATTTACCGCTAATCTAAAACCAGATCTACAAGTATTTTTATGATATTCTATTTTCCTTATTTAATTTTTGTGCCTTTCAAGGTGACTCGACTCACCACAGCACTCTCTCTTGATGAGCCGCCACTACTAAAAAGGTACATTTTAGAATTTACATTGGGGACTAGCGCTCCCGAATTCTAACCACGATTGATTTGATTCCATACAAGTTTGGGGCATTTAAAATGCAGTTAGTATTGCGTCTTCATTTAAACAGGTGCACGAGTCAAACACTTTTGGACATCGGCAAGAGTCGAAGCAGAAGAACTTCAGCTGAACCGTAGCAAACTGCGCCGTAGTAATATTTGCGGCGGGCTCCATCCCAGTAAACGATTTGGCAGGTTGGACAATGGAAGACTGGCAACTGCGGCAAGGCACCATTTCCTGGCACACCGCAGCTGGAACGCAAGCGTCTTCATTTCTCACTGTTTAAGGACTGAAAACATCGCAAACGGCCGCCAGCCAGCCCACAGACAAGCTTCACAGCTGCCGCTTCAGGACAACGACAAATGCATGTCATTAAAACAAGATTCACGGGGCATATCATTTGGGTAGATTTTGGTCGTGCAATCATTCCATATGTGACCGCGCGAGCTGATCGAGTTTACTTTATCTCACCTTTTTTTTTTTTTTTTTGATGGTCGTGGAATCATTCCATATGTGACTCCGCAAGCTGATGGAGTTTACTTTATTTTTTGTCTTTTTTTTTTTTTTTTTTGGTTATCCAATGGTTAAAAAGTGTATTAGCTGCAAATGTGATACATCCCATTTTTAAACAGGAGGGAGGCAGAGAGTATAAAAAAAAAGGGGGGGTGCAGGGGCAATGCACAATGACCATATTTGCTCGTCAGAGGAGCATCATGTCAGAATGAGAATCGTCTCCCAGGACACACACCATCATTTTGCGTTTTCCTCACCCCAGCAGGAGTGCTGACAGGGTGTTTATTAGGGCCGCGTGCAGTCTGGGAGCATGAACAGTTATAGCCATGAAACACGGGAAGTACAAAACTTGGCAGGCGTTGCTGTTGAAACTTTTCACAATTATATCGACTGAAAAATGATCAAGCATGATTAAAAAAAACAAAAAAAAAACCAGAAGAAGCCAAACAAAAAACGGCAAAATAGGAAAAGGAAGAACAACCGGAACAATCAATCAACTCATCATTCAATTTTTTGCGATATAACAGAAGAAGCCAAACAAAAAACGGCAAAATTGGAAAAAGAAGAACAACCGGATCAATCAATCAACTCATCATTCAATTTTTTGCGATATGCAAGTGGCACTCTATATACATTGAAATATAGAGTGACTTACACCATAAAAGAACAGAACAAACCCGACGCCACCCATGCGCACGAACAGATGCACACGCACGCGCACGTGTGCATTTCCTCTCGAGCAGAACGTGCGCACACTGAAAGGAAGGCAACTGAAATGCTAATTTACTGTCAACAATTTTGCGGCGAGGACACACAAAAGGAGTGATGAAGCCAAATAAAAGAAGCTAAAAATACCCAAAAAAAAAGCATAAATAATAATAATATCATCATAATCATAAGAGTCACCGTCTTCATCAACACTGATCGTGTCCATCTGCTCGACTTTGGTGCAGGCAGCCTGGCTTATGATTAAAAAGGGAAGATGACATCATAAAATGCAGAGGTGATTAATTAACAACTAATCAGTTGTCACATTAATCGGTAATTATTTTTGATCATCGATGAATCGTTTAGATCCCTTTTTTGTTCATGTAAAATTGTCCAAATGCTCACAATGTTCAATTCTCAGCTTTTCAACTCGTAAATATTATCCGGTTTCTGTAGCCATCCATGAAAGCAAAATATCACATTTGTTTTGACTTTGGAAAACAATGATCAACGTTTTTGCTACCAACCACTAACTGAATAAATTGATTATTAAATGACGCATTTTTTGCGCTGTCGATTTGAAATGACGTCATGTTTTCCCAATCAAGGGTTGCAAATATTTTTTCAGTCAAATTTATCGATTTAATCAACAAAATAATCGACACATTCAACGATTATTTTGAAACAATTGCTCCTTGCCGTCCGACTGACATAAAATTCAAGTCCTGATGGATAAACTCCGACTCCTGACCCTAAAGCTGATCATGATTCTGCCTCTCAATTGTGTTCATTGTTCATATTTAGCATATTGAGCAAAAGCCGCTTCTTCCCTACAGGTATGCGGCGAAAGCCGCTTTTGTCTTTCATCGCGGACAAGAACCAAAATCAAGAGAAAGTTTTTGTGTCATAGTTCACACGCGGCCCAAACATCATGAAACCCTTGTCAGAAAGTCAAAAGAAGTCATGAAGCACTCCGAAATCATTAACCAATGAAACAGGTGCAATAAATTCCACGGCCGCAAAATATTACAAGTGTTTCGCCCCGAGATTTATGGTGCCCATCTGAACGTTTCATGGCTGTCAAATATTGTAATTTTGTAGACCACACAACAAATAAAGGCTGAATACATTCTCGGTGTTAATCTTTTGCGGGGGGGAGGAGACATGAATAATTCACAAGAAAAACTGCTGGTCAACCACCACATCAATGACTGGTGAATAATTCAGAGGCCGAGTGGGTGAGAAGCTGCCTGGCCCTGATTATGATTGAGAGACACGGGGACAGGGCCTGCTTATAGATTCTTGATGGGTTTTACCACATCAAGAAGAGAGGACAGCCAAGGAGGAGGGGGGGTTGGGGGGGGGCACAAATAATTCATAAGAGCGAGCTGCTGATGAGCAAGATGATGAAATCCACAGTTTGCGCGGCCACATTGCATGATGAATTTGTCAATAGCTTGCATTTCTATTTTCCTCGCTCCTGCTCTGACCACTTGTTTCGGCGCGAAAATAGTCATGCTGTATTTCCCTTTGGGGATAGGCAAAGCGGGAACCTTTTCCGCGCGTCGGTTCCTCAAGGTCGCCGGCCAAACAAATAAAGAGTAAAGAGCAGAGTGGGCGCGCCGATGAAACACAAGCGGCCACCGCGCGCCCCATGCAAATGTCAAATTGACGCGGCCCTCTTCTCCGAATAAAACGGCGGTCTCTTGAAAAGGTAATCGAATTTCATTATTTACCACCATCCCTAATTCAGAATTTACACGAGTCTTTCTCTCTCTCTCTTTCTGCGAATGCAAACAGACACCCTGCCATTTATGCGCCAGCACATGTGTCCCTTCCTTTTAATAAGGTGATTTACGCAGTCATGAAGCTCTATGGGCCATACTCTGACGCACAAACTTGTTTGGGTGCACAACCGAATGGGGATGTGCACTGGTACATGTAATTGACGTTTTCTGAGCCGCCATTAACCCACACAAACATGGCCTTTTTATCTCCTCCTCGCCCCAACGATTAATTGACATTTCAGTCAATCGCAGTCGGCGTTTGACAACACAAAGGACAGCCGCCATTTCATTTTAGGCCCCTATTTATCTTAACCTCCTATCAACTCAGATTAAACCCACGTGCCCCCTCTTTGTTTACTCGACGAGTGTGCATAGGAGCAGCGGCATACATGATCAGGGTTTAAACGTTGAAATTAAAGGACAGCTGACTCTCGTGTGTATACTTCCGCGGCTAATGAGTTGCCGGTCAGCTCTTCGTAAATCAAGTTCCAAAGAGATGATCATGAAAGCAAGACTCGGTACGGTGAACGAAACAATAATTTCATTTTAAAGATGGACAACATATTAATAAATGTTTCCCAATATTACAAAACCAAAAAAGGAGAGATACTGTATCTATTCAAGGGCATATATCATGCTATATTAAGCCTTACGCAGTGAACTCAACTCAGCTGTATTTCTTTAAAACAACCATTGCTGCATATAAGGGGCTGTACACGGAACAAAAATAATTCATACACCAACAAAAAATTAAAACAATAAATGAATAAGAAAGACAATAGAAAGCACAAAAACAGCTAAACTAATAATCACGTCTCATGCTGAGTCAAAAGCTAAAGAATAAAAGTTTGAAGGCGAGTTTTAAAGATGAGCAGCGAGGGGGCTTAGCTAACTTTCAGCGGGAGGTCAGTCCAACGGAAAAGGCTACATCCCTTCTTAATCTCCGCTTAGTTTTCGGTACCTCTAATAGTGTCTGGTATGCAGACCTGAGGCAGCGGCCGGGTGCGCAGGGGCCAGTCAAGAAGCAAGCAGCAGCATTTTGAACCAACTGGAGATCCTTAATGGAGGATTGCTTGTACATATATACATATATATCGCACAATGGTGATCGCATTTCTGATGAAATATGAGTTATTTTGCTGGTTACTTTTCAAAACCCGGAAGTAAGACTCCTGGCTCACTAAAACCCCGCCTCTCCCCATGTGGTTGCCGCACCCATTTCTGGCTGTCGTCCAAAAACTGGTTGCTGCGTGCACCACCCGCAAAACAGTAAATGAACAGTTTTGACGACTCGGCAGACTCGTGCCGCTTTTCAATTCCCAAACAGCCCCACACCACCGTCATTCATTTGGCCGCCCCTACGATAGAGCAGCTTCTCGTCCTGACACTGCGGCCTCCGAGTCCCCGAAGCCACCGCTGCCCCCGAGGTGGGAGCCACCACCGTCGAACTGGGGGGTGCAGCGACGCTCCGTTCTGGCGAGTGGAAACCTCCCATTGAGGTGTGTGGGAGCCAGCGTGTGAAAGAAGCCACGTCTCCCCGACTCCAGTGCAAAAATGAAAGTGGCTGCTCTGAGAAAGTGGGCGTGTGTTTAGTCTGCAGGGTTAACAGAGCATATAAAGCCTATTATGACAAAAACTAATGCATGTCAATGTAAAAATATCCGAGGCTAATTGAGTCATAAATTCCTCACCACTTGAGTGTGACAGTATGTGTGTAAAGTATGAAAAAAAAATCCATTTAAGTGCTTAATTATCTCTTTTGACACATTTGTGAAAATTAGCATGCGAAAGTCAAATTACATCACAAAAGTTTTGAAAGTAGGGTTGTCGGATCCGCAGGGGTGAAATTCTCCACTGAGGCAAAAGGAAAATGCAAATCAGCTGAAAGCCACCTGACATCGCACTTGCCTTCAGTAAGTGTTTGGAGCCGGCGATGTGATGCAATCAGGCATGAGAGCTCTTAAGATGTTGACACAATGAATCTGTTTTTTTATTTGCAAGTTGAGCGATCATGAATGCATGTCCTTACGCTGGTTCACCGAAGGGCAGTTATTGTGACGCTGAACCTTCAACTTTACTAATAGCAAAGAACACAACCCATAATACACAATTTTGATATTTTGTTTTGACGAATAGCACACATCTTTTTTTTTCCTCTCAACAGACGTCATCAGACTTCAGTGAGTGTCTATGGAGCCCATAATATACTGTCGAGGAAGCCTTGGATGCTTCTTTTTTTTTTTTTTGTAGTACGATTCAACAACGCAACGGAAATTATGAAATCAGGAAAGGCAGAGTTGAGACGGGAGCTCTTTGTTGTCTACAAATTGAACTAATCATGACGTTCATCACAGAAGGCGGCATCAGCGTACGTGACTCAGAATGGAGTTGGGCTAAACGGTAAGATGAAGTGACCTTTTGTTGTCAAACCAACCCCCACCTTCTCAATAATTTATGCTTCTGTGTCAGAGCGTTTAGAATGATAGCTGAGCGATCAGTAATTGCTTCTGCTGAACCCGCACCGTCACCAGTCGCTGTAATCTGACAGAATAGCAGAATTAGGAAAGAAAAAAAATGTCCAGGAGAACACCCGTGTTGAGTTTTATTTGCTCACAAACCTTGACAAGATCAGTAATGATCTGTTCAGAAAAAAAGGTCAATACAAATACTGTATGAAGTTGTTTTTCAGAGTAATCCTTTTACTCTCCACACGACGTGTCCTTTTCTTCGGTCTCCAGAGTGAGAATTATATGAAAAGATTCCACGTCTTTGATTTGCAGCACTTTCATTGTGGGATCTTGTTAGGGATGTTCTCTGTGAGGAAAAGTGACACTCGGGCACGGTGTTTGCAATGCAGCTCATTATCTGATAAACCAGATACAAGTCTGTCTAAGTTATGTGGGATGCGGAAATGCACAAGGTACAAGAGATCGTAGTGCCGCAGTAACAGTCACTAAATTATATTGCTGCTCTAGTTTTGAAATATTCACTTTCCGGCACTTGTAGGTCCTTTGCTTCGCATTTTTTTTAAACCTCTTTTGACAGTGGACGCGCATGAGACCCAGGGAGCGCTCCACCATTTGAAGATGGCCTCTTTCGGCTGTTTCATATTGCAGCCTTCAAAGAAAGCACGCCAGCAAACGAATGGCTAGTACAGTATCATCTGATTCATGATTGGTTTCTGATTTGAGAAAAAAAAAAAAGTGCCGTTTCATCGGGATTATAGTGCTCCAGTTTTTCGTAAGCAGTCATTGGTGAGGAAATGCGCGGCTTTGTGGGAAATGATGATATCGATTTATCTGCTGTGACAACCCACAGATGGCAGAATGAGGTCGGGAGAGATGACCCGGCCCTCAGATTGTCACTCAGGAAACTCAAGCGACCGGCACGTTTGGAACGCCATCGTGTGAAAATGCTCATCCGGTAGCACAACTGTACACAGATTAGATTGCCGCAGTCGATGTTAATGAAGCTAACGAAGGGAACAGCTCCGCTAAGTGGCCTAATGGAAACATTGCAACACAAACAGAACAGGGGTCGGAAATGAAAGCAAGATGCGTGAAGGTAATGCGACGGTGATTTGAAGATCCATCCATTTTTAGGATCGCGTTGAGGGAAAAAGCTGACTCCTACTTAGAAACGCGTCACTGTTCTGTAAGACAAAAGCTGCGGCATTCATCTCTTCCTCTGAGAAGACGTAACAATGCAAACGTCTTCGGGTGCTGATGGGCTCCTGTTTTTGCAGCTCTATGACGACGACGAAATTATTTCGTTAACGCCCGTTTTCATGACGGAAACAAGACGATGACGAGCTCAATGTTTCTCTCTGATGACGAAAATATGACGTGACGTTTTGCTAGCACTCAATGACGTACACGTCATGCTATCAACGTAGCAGCGGTGGTGGCTAACGCCGACTTCTTCACTGCCGCAGCGGCTCGAAATGGCAATCTCCCCATCGAAGCGTCTCAATCCGTAAAGTGAACGAGGCCTACCTGGTTGATATGCTTCAGTTTGTCTATGATTTGATGGATGACAGAGTCGGCTCCTTTCACTTTGACCTCCGGGTTGGCGGCTTGAGCCTTGATCCCGTTTCCCACCACGCGCAGAGTGTAGCTGTGAACACACACCAAAAATAATGTTGACTTGAATGTGCCGGGGGAAAAAAAGTCTCACATTAATGAAGCCATCAGTGCCGACCCTCTTTGGATATCAATATTAAAAGTCATTCATATTCGCGAGGTACACACGGACGATGATGTAATCAAATTGCCGTGACATCCCGGGGGGGGAGCTAAGCAGGGGTTTGCAATGTGAAAGAATCCCGATTCACTTGCCTCAGCACATGCTCAATGCCTTTCACTGGCCCTCTAAAGCTGTTCAAGCTATTCTTTATGATCGCACTTGAATAGAAAACCGTTCCACCACAGTGAGTTCGCTGGACGAAACCACTCACTCACGATGTACACCTTGACGCGTCCAGTTGCTACATTAATCCTTATTTGAAAGCAGCTCAACGCCGTAATTGCTTTCGAATAAGTCTTCGGTTCACCCCCAAGGTCTCCCTTCCGTCTTTGCAGCTGCGAGAACTATCACGTTGGCAGCTGGGGCGCGTGAGCACAAATTCCACGCGTGTCAAGATCCCTCAACAAACAAAATACAATGAGTAGGTCGAGGGATACACACAAACCGCCGACGACAACCTGACACACAAACGTTTGGATTTGCGAGTCTGCTTGGATACAAAAACATTCTTGCTGTGGCGAACACGCAAATTGCCGGAGATAAATCTGCGAGACTGGTGAGTTGTTAGTCGCGAACAAATGAGTGATTTGAAGCGAGTTGGGGTCAAGAGAAGACGACATGAATAAATAAAGCACAGGAAGCAAAGTGTCTAATTTATTTAAAAGGAAAAACGGATGGGAGAATTCAAATTCTGTCATCATGTCTGGGTCGTACGGATGTATTTCGGATGTTTGTTTCTTGCTCGCTGACCGGAGCTTTCAGAAGGAAGAGTTCAAATTAACAAAAAACATTTGGGGGGGGGGAAAAAACAAACTGATACTGACTTACACCTCCACTGACATAATTTGGAGTGCCAGAAAAATCAGGCACAAATATATGACGTATTATACAGTATGCAGTATAACTATATAAATACCAGATTTTATTTTTTTTTGTTGCCTCTTGGAAAAAAAAATCTGAAAATTAACTCTCCGATATCATTTTGCTTATTTTATTTCAATTAACTCAACTGTATTTACAAAGCATTCTAAAACAACCAAGGCGCTGTATATGGAGCAAAAGTAAGTCATTCAACAAAAAAAACATAAAACAAGAAATGAATAACAAAGAGAGTGGAAAGCACAAAAACAGTCAAACTAAAAATCAAGTCTCATGCTGAGTCAAAAGCCAAAGAATAAAAATGAGTTTTAAGACGAGTTTCGTTTCCATTGTTGTTTTGTCAAAAAGGTCAAATCATCAAAACTGTCATGATCCACTCTTAATATTTTTCCAAATCTTAAAAGTTAGTGTTTCTGTGACAGAGCCCACACATAAAGATATTGATGCAATGTCAGAGTTGTGGTTGTATTCTGCGTGTTGTGCTCTGATTACCTAAACAAAGAGCACTACGCACACGAGGATTCGGTCCACTAACTGAAATTCAAGCAAGTCTCCCGCATGCTCACACGTGATCTCTCAAAAACGAAGAACAACAGACACTTCCCGGGTATGCGTGAGGGCTTCCGAGTCGAGCCGCTGCTCCTCCACGTTGAGAGGAGCCAGGTGAGGTGGCTCGGGCATCTGGTTAGGATGCCTCCTGGACAAAATAGCCCCAAAAGAAGATGTCCGGCATTCCAATTCTGCTCAATTTGACTCGACTTGACTTATTGGCCTTCCGAAACGGACTCTGTGCTCCGAGGTCTGAGACATAAAAGGCAATGTTGTCAGTTTGTAGTCTGCTAAATCTTTCTGTCCCCTTTTGGGCATCCAAGCATTGATGGAGAACCAGTCTGCTGTCTCCAAACCGTCGACTACCGCTTGTTTTTTTTTTTTTTTTTTAAATCTTCTGCGTGATGCTTCATCAAAATGTAATGCAGAGAGGAGTTCCGTGACTCCGGAGATGAAACGGTTAGAAAATGCGCACTCTTCATGGTTGGCTGAGTGAGAAACAAAGCAGGCCTGCGGTTAGCAGACCGGAAGGTGATACCTGCCTTCCGCTTGTCACCGTGGAGAGCACGGCACTTCAGCTCAGGACTGAACAGAGGGAGGAGACGGGATCGTTCACTTCCGCAGTGGAAAGGGACCGAAACAAAAGAACTAGTGTGAGCTCCAGAGATTTGATGTATTCCATCTCCTGCAAGTCAATCTGCGTATTTTGGCTACAACTTGTCGTCCATTCGGTAATCACAAAGATCGCAGAAAGGTACGACGATGTCAGAGTGGAACTCGTGGTAGCGGCGCACATCAGGACACGATTTCAGTCTGTTGCCAAAACTTACTTTTTAGCATTCACCCAAAAGCTCAGTGAACCGGAAACTTTCATAGTTGCACAAACAATATTGAATTGAGAGTACAGTGATCCCTCGCCACGAGGCGCTTCAAGTTTTGCAGTTTCGGTGCTTGGCGGGTTTTTCCAAAGTACTGCATTCATAAAAAAGAAGAAGAAGGGTTCAGGCGGTAGCATGTTTGTCGCCCCAACCTGCAGATTGTGGATTCGATCCTGAGCCCTTGTGAACATGTCAAAGTGACCATGAGCAAGAAAGTGAAACCCCCAGTGGCACCTGATGCCGCGTCACCAAGAGGTTGAATGGTAAGACGGTGGTAAAGTGCTTGAGTTCCTTGTAGGTCGAAAAGCGCTAAATAAATGAAAGCCCGTCGACATGTTTGTACCAGCCTGTGAGGAAGGACGTGTCAGTCTGATAGCAGAACCCTCTCATTTGCTGTTCCCAAGAGGGAATCCTTATTAAGGGAACTGGAGAAAGGCACAAATCACTCGTGCAGTAAACAAACTTATCCAACGACAGTGGAGTAAGTCAATTTATATTCTGTCGAGTCCTCTCTATTCAACCTCCATGCATGTTGATTCTTCGAAATTATTTACGCATGACTTGGAAATCAAGAATCAAGAACATGAACGATCACATTTTTTTTTCCAAGTGACATTATTCAGAAAGGTTCGATCATGCAGTGTGTCCCTTCGGCGATTCTCATGATTCGCCACATATCAAGACCCGTGAACCTTAACGACGCAGATAACACGACAACACTCGCTGTGTCCTCTGGCAAAGATTGATCGCCTAACACCCCGACTGGCATGTTTGTCCCAATTACACAAAAGCCCTAAGCCTTAAAGTCATATTGGCTTTGGCTAGCGCATCAACATGGAATTTTCCAGACAGAGTTGCTTCAATAAAGCACTGGCGAGAATAAATAGGATCTGGGAGTTGGTCAGCAAGTAATTTGCGCTTTTGTGACAGGAATCGCTAATGAGTGAGTTGTCAGAGCTCACTCATATTGCTCGGATGGATTAATTACAGATACGCACGCTAAAGAGGTGGCGAAACGTGGTATAGTGGATGAGTGAAGAAACCCCTTTTTTTCTTTCTTTTGTTCTATAATGGAGGGCTTTGAACATGTTGACATTTGAAGTCATCATCATGGTAACCAGATTCATTTGCCCCCGTGCACGGTCAAGTCTTTACAGCAGCAGTGCACCGTGAGATCACAAGAATCGATCTTTAGAAGGAACATAGCCCCAGGATATCTGCAGTCTGCATCGTGAATCGTGAATATTAATCTCTAAAAATCTTGTAGACTAGAATCAAAATGTTCTGTAAAGCAAATTGGAACTCATTAAATTTTACGAATGACACAAATGTCTCGAGTACGTTTACGCTAAACTAGGTTGCTTCGCCCCTGGTTATCGCCTCCAATTCATATTCAGAACTAAATCATTAGCTTCCTGCACTATGGTCAGAATGTAAAATAAATAGGGTAAAAAGAAATACTGCATCCAAACGTGTTTTCTGCTGACACCGGTTGTATTAAAGCAAGCTTATAATTGCTTGCAGGACCCGTTTATCGCGACGCCATGACAGCTAATACGTGCAGTCATACTTGCCTCCACCAGGTGAAAAAAAAAAAGACTCTAGACCAGGGGTCCCCAACCGCCGGTCCGCGGACCGGAACCGGTCCGCCGGGCATTTGGTACCGGGCCGCACAGAAAGAACTTGCCTTAATTCCGTTTTATTTATTTCGGAATACGAAAGATGTTTTATTTTGAAAACTTACCGGATTCTCCGTTACATCCGTCTGTGTCCAGCTTGACACACGTCAAGCCACGCTTCTCCGTAACGCGACCAATTAGGCTAAAAACAAACACCGGAGCTCGCAAAATGAGTAAAAAAACTGCTGGAGATCGCAAATGACGGCGGCCTTAAAAGTACGTTCGAGACAACTGGATTAAAGTTATGTCTGAATACTCTGAGATCGCCACAATAGCACTTTTGCTATTTCCGACATCCTACCGGTGTGAGGCGGGGGGGATTATGCAGCAACGGCGACGAAAACAAAATTACGAAGTAGACTGGACATAAACCACACACTTGCGGTGTCATTGTCTCTCCTATTACCCCGAGATGGGACCGTCTGGTTGCAGAAAATCAAGCTCGGTGCTGTGGTGAGTCGTCATTTTCATGCACTTTGAATTTGCGTTGTGTCGTATTTTGAAGGCATTAAACATTGCCATAGCGATTGGAGTGTTGCGGCCAGATTAGACGCTCCTTGTGTTTATTATTATATTTCGAAAACACCACAGTTTTCATGCAGCTCATACCATATTATTTTGTTGTATTATTTCCGCCACACCTTAAATGCCGGTCCCTGAAAATATTGTCTGACATAAACCGGTCCGTGGGGCAAAAAAGGTTGGGGACCCCTGCTCTAGACAACAGGTGTCAAACTCAAGGCCCGGGGGCCAGATCCGGCTCGCCAAATCATTTTATGTGGCCTGCAAAAGCAAACCACGTGTGTCAATTTGCTAAAATCTGTACCGAAATGTCAAATTGACATGTGTAATAAATAACGTTGAGATTTTGCAATCATTTTGTTTA